GATAGAACAGACTTCTTCTTTTGTGGTAATTTCCGTAAACTGGAAATATATGGATCAGAATTAAGAAGAAGTCTGTGCATGAGGTCGGTGTTAGTGTCAACTCGAGACGTTTTTCTCGTGTTGTCACGCCTAAATTGTTTATATAATTTATTACACGATTCAGCGGCCTCTTCGGAGAGCTCACCGATAGATATTAAGCAATGATCAATAACTTCCGATCCATGAATTAGTACTTTATGAATAGAAGAAGGCAAGTTATACCAGGGATATGTTGAAACAAGTTTGCGCGCAGTCTCTAAGGCATAATCTTTAAAAGCTAGTTTATTGATTTTGTAACCCGACGAAAGACACTGCAGCAGGTGATAACATCTATCGAGAAGAGTTTTGTCTAAGCCAGTTATTTCTGCTGATATAACTGAATTAGAAAAAAATGTTCTTGCAGTGTTTCCGTCGTTTGATGTGCCACTTCCTCCACTTCGCGGTTTGTCAACAATCAGACCTAATCTTTTCCTGAACTGCTGCTGTAGAAATTGTTTTTTCTATGCAAGAAGAGCTTTACTTTCAGCTGAACGCGCTTGCCATGTTTTAAAATCTAATCTATATGAAATGTGAATGAAATATTCGAAAAATCTAATCCACGAATGGAGGGGAGATAAGCCAAATTCATATTTACTACTGTCTACTGATTTGCTTAGACATTTGTCAATATCGTTCATCTCTTTTGGTGTCGCGCTACAAATATAGCACATACTACAGGACAAGTCACTAAGAGCACCACATACTTTACCATCAACCATAGTCAACTGTAAAGAATGCTGTATCTTAATTTCACAGCCCTCGAATGTAAAAGAAGACGGTTGTAAATTATCAATTTTATTTTTGAAATAAGATTCTTCTTTCACAGAAAGTTCCTTTGTCTCCTTAGCAAATTGGAACCGAATAGGTCTACAGTACCGAGTAGAAGAAGGGCGCGGAGTTTTCCAGACAATTTGGTCTGGATCGGAAGTATTTGATTTACAAATTAATTGCAACGGACAATATGACGTTACAAATAAACTACCATCATCATCTTCGATACTAGAATCTGAAAATTTCTGTTTATATTCACTATGCCCCGTACTACCATCAAATCCCCACTTACCAACTAAAACAAATTCTTTACTGATATCAACATTACTTAGGACGTCACTTTGAGATTCTAGTATACGAGTTGTAGTATGATCTAACAAAGACTGTAACTCTATTTCGGCAAATAGAGTTCATCCGATTCTGTGACAATTTCATCCGAAGGATAACACCTCTTCTTAGCTTCCAACACTTTATGGTATGATGGTAATGCATTCTGTGATTTTGAATTTATGAACCGTCGTAGTAACAAATACTGATGCTTGGTCAATTTAGCTTCAGTTATTAAAGATAATACTTCGTCAGTGTTGAATTCCATAGAAGAGGTGTTAGAACGGTTGGAATCGTTCAGTAACGAATTTATCGCGGAATTATCTACCTTTGCCAACTCTGCTATCCTGCGTCGCTTCGACCTCTCGCTGCAGTCTTCGAAGTCCTTCCGATACTGATGGCCACTCGTAGACGGACGATCACAAACCGCCGCCGCCGGTTGCTGGATATTAGGGTGAGAAGCTGCAGAAGTTAGGCGGCAAACTTCGTTTATGTGCAGCCAGTCACCGTATTTAGCAACCATACGGGAATGTGATCGCCTGACTTGCTTCCAATATGTGCAAATTTTTTTACAGAGATACGAAATCCTGTTTTCCAACTCATCTATCCGGAAATTTTCAACATCGGGCAGTAGTTGTGTCAGAGAATAAAGAACTCGATTAGATCGGTCTGCGTCAGAATCACTATCTTTAATAGATATCCACGTATCAAATACAAGCGTTCTAGTGAAAGAACACTTAATATTCGCACCTAAAACAAAAAAAAAGGAATTTGAGAAAATTAAAGCATAATAGAAATTTCGTAACAATTGCTACGTGTTTGAACGTACGGCGTAGACCCTCTGTACTGTTCAAGAAAGCAGCTAGAAGCAGCCAAATTCAGTTTAATTTCAAAATAGAGACATTAACAAACATTTTGATATATAAGTCATGCGGGGATTTTGGGGGGAAAGTAGTTAAAAGTTTCATTGAACATGAACAATAGAGAAAAAAGAAGTTAAAAATTTCTCTGGCGTAGCATCAAATTTTTAATATTAATTTTCAATTTAAAAATAAAAATAATATACAAAATACGTAATACATACCTTCAACAATCTCCATAGCAAAAAAATTGGTCACTAACAATTGATTCTCGGAAAAAACGGTTCGGGTAATTTGCACGTGGTAATTACACTAAAACGATATGCGTTCACTTCCGATGCACAAAAGTAAATGTGACATCTACCTGATTGAAATTTTTTTTATACCCTTTAGTAGTACGACTAGTTGTGAGTAATTAGGCTACGTATCATAGCATAATTCATACCTCGGGATTTTGGGCGTATGACCTACTACTGAACCACCGTGCAATGGGTCGAAGTAGGTACGCAAATGCAAAAAAGGTCAAGCCAGATTTCAATAATGAACCCAGCTTTTGCCGTTAAATGGGAAGAAATTCAATTCATTACCATACAATTAACATTTTCTTTCCTCATATTGTTCTGTATTTGAGCACGCATTCATATAAATCATTGACTTACAATTACATAGACGTCGGGTACGCGCTAAAAAGTGTCCGAACTTATAGTGCGTTTTAAAATCGTATACAGAGCGTCATTCGCGCTTTAGTCTTCGTTTGTTCGACGAACAGCGAAGCAAGCAAAATTAGACAGTACTGCGATAACATTACAATTTAAATTCAACGTTTCAGCCTTTTCATATTCCTTTACATGTCACTACGTTTAAATAGGTTGACTTGGGACAATTTTTTCGTGGGTTTTGTATTAGACCCGTCGTCCATTTATTTGTAAGTCAATGATATAAATATAGACTTTCATGTGCAAACAAAATCATCTCTTCATAATAAATATACCACGTAAAGTATACAACGTAGTGTTCTGAATTCAATTGGGAGGTTGGAAACTTTTATACGACAAACAATTCGATGCTGATACAAGAGTTGTATTCAGAGACGCACTACAGCATTAATGAGATGGTGACTTTATAGACTTTTCGTAAAACGTTGTTTTGTATTATATCAGATTTCACCCTAACTGGGTAAAGAGATTAATCAACGTTCAAATGTAAAAAACCCTTTGATATCAGTGCGTCCGCTCGGGAGCTATGATACCACAGCCAGGCGTACAAACACATAGATACACTTCTGTGACATCATTTAATAGGAGAAACCACTAGGCAGATGAGGAAACCAATTTTTTGTATAAGTACTATTTACTTATCTAATCAATTTTAATTATCATATTTTTTACAAGTGCAAGGGGCGCCGCTGTTTGAAAGAAAATAATCCGGATAATTAAAGTTATCAAGAATCGAATAAATGAACAGAATAAAACGTATCAAATTAGTTTAATTTACGATGATATTTCTTCATAACACTTTACCCACCCAGTGGCCAAATGCTTGACGGATGAGACTTCCACAAAGTTTATAAAATGTCACATTCTCTATTCGAACTATAATCATCGTTCATACATGTGGTCGCGATTTCATAAAATGGTCAATCAGTACAGTTCAGAAACATACTAAAAACTACGAATGTTATAACTGATTCACATTGATCCAATGTTCGGAGTCAGTATCTCAGCTATGCCAACGCTGACGTACCACGCCGAGAATGAAGCAGTTGCCTCTGTTTTGGGCTACTAACACGTTTGCCGCGTTCGCTGTTCCAACGTCGTTGGAACGTCGACAGATGTTGGACAGGTATAAAAATCTTGGACCACTCGCTGAAGATGGCGCCACATCATAGTTATTACCCGCGTGGGATTGGTACTGGCTTTTGACAAAATCGTTATAGAATAAATATTAATATTACAAATAAATCGTTAATAACGATGGGCGCTACATCATTTTAGTGAAGGAATAAGTTTCGAAGGGTTACCAAAAAAATTAACTATAACAGTAACATAAAGACAATTTTAAAACAATTTGGTGTCATTTTTGTGGACAAATCATTAATAGTCACAATTGTGACAGATGGCGGCGTTGTTGAGCAAGCAGCAGGCTGTTGAACCTCTAAGAGTCGTATTCCAGAACTCTACTCAATGCTCAAGTCAGGATTTGAGCAGACTTAAGTATGATTTCAAGCACTGGAAATACGACCCTAATGGCAAGGCCTTGAGTATGATTTTCAGTGCTCACTGATTCACAGAGTATTGAGTATAGTTCTGGAATACGACCCTAAGACCTCTAGAGTCGACATCTCTCTTGAAATGGTTGTTACCTTATAGAGTCGTTTCTGAGAAACAGGGTCCTTAAAAGCATAGTTATATGTAGCAATTTCCGTATTTTATTTTAACGAAAACAAAAACATTAAAAAAATATAATGTATCTTAAAAAGGAATAAAACGTTAGAGTAGAATAAAAGAAGCCTTGAAAAGAAAAATTGTCAAAAAATCTTGTGGACTGCAGCCAAGAAACAGGACGTACATTTATACCACACAGTCAAGTAGAATAATGAAAAATAAAACTTCATTTGTAAAAACATATGTATTTCACATACACCATACATACAATTAATAATATTAAGCTACAACAAATTCTAGTAGACGTTTTACTACTGCTCAAAAGAATTCAGCCACATAGAATTCGGTAACGAGTAGTTATGATGACGGTAATTCTCAGACTGGTATTCACTACGCAATTTTTATTACTTAAGTGTAATATATGTTGCCGTCTAGTAATCAAGGAGGAGAATATGTATATTTGGAAGACTTTTTAGGATGGAAAAATAATTAAATACACATAATATTTGCTAAATAACAATTGATTAAATAAAATGGAATTTTCATTACGACAGGTAAGTATTGTAATATATTATTATTATTATTTTATGAAAACAAAATCGAAAGCAGTTAATGTGGTCAAGTCTATTTGAAAGAGTAAAGAATTGTAACAAAATGTATTAATTATACGTACTTTAACGTCCATAATTACAAAATCATTTATAAGCAGACAAACGTTATAGACATAATGGAATTAACTCCAGTGACGTTTAAAACCCAATTTAGGATATATCATACACATCTTACCGCTGTTTGCCGTTATGAATAATCGTTCTCAGAAAACGGTCTCTTTCATTAACTTATTAGTATATAGATATAGATATCGTTCCATCCACAAAATGGCACATGTATTATAACATGTATGAATATACCATAATGAAAAAAAAAGAATGAAAGAAACCAATTTAATGCAACTATGAGAAAATTCGAAGATTCCTCAAAAGACGCTTGATGGTATGGATCGTTTTTATGTTAAATCCTAAATCGCGGTGTTAAGATTTCCCTTCGAATAGCGACAATTTTGATCAGGTGATTTCATAAAAGTTTTCGTACATAACAATATTGTGTTATTGCCTGTACTCCATCTAACTCTCATCACATCCTATTTGGAAATAGTATATGGGACTTTATCTTGAAATGTACCAAATAAAGCAATCAAATTCGGTAAGGTTATCGTAATGCACGACATACTAACAATTGTTATAAAAATTGCCCAAAAAAAAATACTTGCTTTTTGAGATATTGTTGGCTCAATTTTCACTGTCTGTTAGTCACAAACATTTAGAAGCGTCGAACCTAAACATCTAAAGTGAAACAATATTTCTACTCACTTGATTTTTCCAGGCTAGGTTCAAGTAACAATATTTCTGAAGTCACTGTCCAATATCATGGACAATTCTATATCCTAAAGTATTAATTGCATGATTCGTTTTAACATAAATTCATTTGGTAAATTAATATAAAAGAATAAATATACATAAATTCATTTGGTAAATTAATATAAAAGAATAAATATATTCCAGTTGACAATTTTCTGAGCATCTATCACCGCTTGCTGATAGACAGTCCGATCTGACTGACAGTATATTGCGTATCACTGACTGATTATTTCTTACAAAAAGTTGCTTTGTTTGGCTGTTAGTTTACAGCCAAACTACATAACTTTTACTTTGAGGTAACTTTTGAGTTTTTAGAACAGGAATTTAAAGTTTTAGGGTGGGACAGTGTGTTCGCGCGTAGATGAAATGGTGTTAAATAAATATCGTTCCACTTTTTCAAGGTGGCTGAATAATTTCTAGAGGTCTCGGTAGTGTAATTGTTACAGGTACAATACCTATAAGCACTAAGTATTTAAGTACACTTAGAATTATTAAGACGATAATGTAGTTGTATCAAGACGAGTTAAAAAACGGTGATGCCTTCAGTATCTAGAACTCTACCACTAGATTTTATAGTTCAATGAGAATGTGTAATGTTCTGTACTGTGTATGTGATTGATTGCACTTGTGTCGGCGGCTCTGCAGCAGGAGGCGGAAAGTGTCCGTGAACTCGCCTGTGATTTTGAAGAGCCGTGCCCTGAAATGTAACCAACCACACTTCATGTCACAAACTGTTTCTTCAAATACATTCTATTGGTACAAGTCTAGCACTATTTTGTGTTCGACTATTGTTTTAATATTTAATCTTTTCTGCTTCCGATTTTTATGGGGCGTTCTATACAGTGACTATTTAGACATCTTACTTAATAAACTTTTTTATAATGCATATTGTTGGTAATGTAAAATACAGCCATTAACTCTGAGAACTAGATCCGTGTCTGTATAGACACCAAAGAAATACGAGTTGTTATATGTAATACGTTGTTGAAATAAGCTGTCATTGTCACAAATTTTGGGACATTTTTGCAATACTAAGCAAAAGTTTTAATAATCCTAACGTTTATTGTGAAAGCAATTTCCAATATTTCCAAAATTTCAATAACAATTAACGGTTTTGGTGCACGCTTACATTATTATTTATTTATTTAAAAAAACTAATGCAATGAGCAAAAATAACAAGACGTAGAGTTTGAGTTTTTATTATGCCCGACTAGTTTATTTGTCAACGTACCTGAATAAAGCGATCACCGCATACTTCACAGATGTATGGTTTGTCACCAGTATGCCGACGAATGTGTAAAGTGAGATCATTGCTTTGCGAGAATGCTTTCTCGCAGTACGTGCACTTGTAAGGCTTTTGGCCAGTATGCACCCTCATGTGCCTTGACAGCTTATTGCTGCGAGAGAAACCTGCAACAAAGAAGAAATATATTTTTGTTTCTACTAGGTAATAAGCATAATATAATTAGACAAGTATGGTTCACATTTAGTCTACGTAATATCAAATGTACTGATTTGACCAATTTGTAATAAGCTGATAAAAGATTTCATTAGAAAAAATAAAGCCGATGATATCGTCTTCAAAAAGCCACGCAAGAAAATGGTAAAACTGACAAAAAAGTTCCCAAAATCATCATAGATGGCATTTTTTACAAAAATTTAACCCACGGCACCATTCGCTTCTTTTAACTCTGTTTAAGGCTTCTGTAGTTTATTTTGATATAATAATACACCGCATATATTTTATTCAATTACGTAACACATAACCTCCAAAATTTCAGACTGGAATATCTTTAATTCCTGATTTCTCAGAATAGTAAACGCAAAACAAAATTTTTTCAGGAATTTCAACTCTTTTCACATATTTTTCATAAACAGACGCATACAAATTATGTCAACAAAAATTTATATGGGAGTTTGCCATTGCCCTTTTACCAACTTCTGACGTCCCGATTATTTTCTTCCAATACAATAAAACCATTATAATAAGAAAGTGAGTCTATAGTTTGTCCCAAATAGCATAGCCATAGCGATCATTCACCCGACTTTCATCCCGAACACACAATTCGCAGCGACCGATCGTCTATTCCCTACAAAACTGTCGCAATTTTGGCTTCGCGTGATTAACATTATCAAAGTCAATAATGTAACTTAAAAAATAAATTAAATTGAGGCATATCACACCGTAAATTTGAATGTTGTAAACATCATCGCATTTTTATTAATAATTTACTATATTTCTTATTATCGTAATAATATTATATGTTTCTTAAAAATAAATATTATATTACATTAGCATAATATACCAAATTTAAATAAAACTGATACTTAAAACTCCGTTCATAATGAATATAAATACAGTTCCTTTAGCTTTGTAGTTTCAAAAATATAAAAATACCACAGACGTCTAAAAAAAACCAAATTCAACAAGTTATCCTTGTTTGTTTTTACCAGCTTTTCACGCTAGGTGCGCATAACTTTTCGGCTACTTTCGTTTACATCTAATAAACTGTATTCCGTGTGCGTGTGTGCGTTTGCATTCGGTCGAGTTTCGGAAGTATTCACGTTTTAATTTTGGTATTTTGTTTTGTTACTTTGGGTGTTGATTTGTTTTATTAATTCGCATTGTTATTTTGTTTCGTTTTGACCATTTTTTATTTACTGTGTTCTAATTTGTTGTTAAATTAAACAAAAAAAAAAAGAATCCGTCAATGGTAGGACCATCTACTGGTAAATCCAGTAAATGCCGTCGTCAATCAATATCAATATATTCGTCGTGGTCCATAGACCATAACATCGACCAAACAGTAGACTAATTTATAATAAATGTAAGCAACAACGATTCTCTCGAATCGGTTTGATTATCCCTACGCATTTCCGATCTCAACATTGATATTAGAAATAAATTTTTAAAAGGTTCCCAAATAATGCAAACTGTTTTGTATTTATGCATTGGTATAGAATTAATATCAGTGATTTTGATTTAGGTGAATTTTTAACATTTCCTTTCAATTTTTGAAATAAATAAAATTACTTATATAATAGTAGTAAAGTAATATTATCGATTATCATAAAATCACACATAATAGGAAATGAAACTATCTTTCCGGATTTAAATCGCGTATATTTGTTTTTTTCAAATTACTAATATGCATTAATATTATACATAACTGGTTGAAGACTATACCACCTCAGCTAACCGTGACCATGGGACCTGTAAAGGGCCCGAAACGTCGGTTTGTTTGAAAAAACAAATATACGCGAATTAAATCCGGAAAAACAGTTACATTTCCTATGTGTAACAATCGCGAAAACCTAAGAACTCGATATCACATATTAATAATACGTTATTTGCTTAAAACATGGTATAACAGAAGATGTAACAAGAGACAGTGCCAGTACTAACATGTTACGCATATTAAACAACCACATATAAAAACTACGACAACAATACAAATGTCACAAGAAATGTCACTCATTTCATGTCACAATGTTACACATAAAATTTGCCAAAAATGATTAAAATCAAGATGAAATTTTACATCTTATTTCCTGTCCAAAAATTTATTTACCTATGTCATAAAAATATTTTCATTGAAGCACTTACTTAACTTCGTTTTAAACAAGCATGAGTCTAATAATTTAATCTCTTTATTAATTTAAGCTGTTCACATGTTGGCCGCTGTCAATTTTGTTTTAAAGAACTTCGAGTGCCTAGTAATAAGTATTTTTAATCAAAATTAAATATAAAGTTATTTGCCTATAATTGTAACGATGGAATTGCATTATCATGTAATATATTAACTATTTTAATAATTGCATTATCATGTAATATGTAACTATAGTTACATTCAAAGTTCTATTAAAATTCGCCTCTTCAAAATGAGGCGAACAAACGAAAATGGCATTTGATCCTATGTTTATATTCGGCAGTCCTATAGTTTCCAACCATTGTAGGTAACCTTCAAAAATAATAATAATAATGAAATAATAAAAACTCTCTTGAATCTTTAGGAGTAGTCCTTATTCATAATTTGGGGTAAAAGTTTTTCCGTCATTTTTTAATATAGCCATATAGCTTACTTTTTCATCAAAAATTGCTGCCGAAAGAGACTTGCTCTGCTTCGTTAAGCTCAACAGAGCAAGTTCTTAAGAATATAACCACTTTTTGAAATAGATCTTATCGATTAACATAAATAATGAAAACACACGTCCATATATGAACTTGCGACTATCTTAATTAATTTTACTAGATGGTTTTCTGTTGATGAATTGATGAATGGCAAGACAAATCAAAATGTTACTGCTGACAAAATAATGCAAGGCAATGAAGGTTTCTATAATGACAACCTCGTGTCAAATTTTAGTGAATTCTTTATTATTTCCCGGATTTCTAACTCTGCTACTCTGCATATTTGGATAGCGTCTTAAGTAGGATAAACTAGATCACCTTCGTCCTCGAAAGCAACGATCTCATATGTATGACCAACTCTACGTTTTTGTAAAGACAGCGCAGTGTTAATTCTTTGCATTATATATTTTTTTGTATTACTCGTACAACATATCCGGCCATGTATGTAATTATTTGCTCAAATGTCAATGTGCTGCAAAAATTAAAATTACAGATAATAATAATATTGCAAAGGTCTTAATAATTTTCGTCGCTTTGTTTTCAAAATCGATCAGAATCAAGAACAGTGTTGCCTAACGTATACATCAAATTTAACATGTAGGGTCGTATTCCAGAACTCTACTCAAAACTCAAGTCAGGACTTGAGTATTGCAGTGAGCACTGAAAATCATACTCAAGTCCTTGCCATTAGGGTCGTATTTCCAGTGCTTGAAATCATACTCGAGTCAGCTCAAATCCTGACTTGAGCATTGAGTAGGTACAGTTCTGGAATACGACCCTACATGTTAAATTTGGCCAAAGAAATGTACAGGCGGCCGTACCACGAAACTGAATGCATTATACAAAAGTGCGTTTGTTCGATATTCAAGGCGTATTAACAAAGGATCACAAATAAATCGCACCAAGGAAAAGCCGCAACGTATTACAAATCATGAGGCATTCACTCGGTTGCATATTTGTTTTCTCGAAATTCGTACAAAACCAAAATAATTGTTTTTAAAATAAATTATGCATGTTCTGATTACAAAATCACGTTTACGCACAGTTATGTTGCTTTTGCAGTTTATAATGGCACAATTACGCATTTTTCGCGTTTTCGACTGGTGTTTATCCACGATAACGGCCGAGCGCGTTCTGAAGTGTCACAGTGGCAACTAAGTGAATTTCACTTATTTTGGGCACGCGAAGTACGTGCACTTGGAGCGTCTATCTAGATATATGTCTGTGACCGATACTAAGTTACAATCAGATGTCAAGAGTGTGACATAACAAAGAAGTGCTTCATATTGAAACTCATAATTCGTTCGAATCCCTCTTAATTACCGACAATTGTGATGATGTAGAGAACAGACCACTCGACTGCAATGATCACGAATCTGAAACTGATAATTTTGAAGTAATTGAAAATAAAAAAAAAACAAAAAATAATAGGATACTCCAGAAACAACTGGATTTAGAGGCAGGACAAATAGAAATACTTCTTTTAGAGAAAGCTGCTAAAAAATATAAGCAAAAAAGATTTAAAAATAACATCACTCCAGCAGGAACTAGATAAGCAACTTCTATTGAAAAAAAGTAATGACGAGAGAGAAAACTCCAATAAAATCAAACTAAAACTATGCACAACAAAAATCAATAGTACCTCGAAACCTGTGACTATAAACGCTCCGAAATTAGATACCATAAGTGCAATTAACGCACACGACGCTAATAATTCAAACCTTGGTATCTCGATAAACCAAACAAGTGCGGCTTTGAAATCCCCGATTATTCATAAGGATAACGACCAAATATTACAACAGAGCGAAAATAAACAACGCAATTTATATATTTTAGGAGATGATAGTTTACTATGCCTTTCTGTTGCAGTCTTGAAGTCCAGGCGAGGAAAATGGTACGATCAGTATAAACCAAAAGCGTTTGTTAAAAACGGAGCCAAAAGCACCCACATACCGGAAGAATGCATTAACAATAAACTCTTAGAGTCACTCACGGAATAGATGTGGTTTTATTAGGTGTGGGCAGTAATGATAGCAATCCTACAAAATTGCAATCGTACCTCTGTATCGTCCTCTCTAAGTTAAAACATGTACAAGTGATTATAACTCCTGTTATGTATAATGCCTCTCTAAATGAGAGATTACTTAACAATAACATAAAAATGTGCACACCGTTGTTTAACAATTGTAAATTTATTAAACCAGGATTTAGTTGGCATCCAACAACAATTACGAAGTATTTATGCCATGCAATAAACATTCACATTGATAGCACAAAG